AAAATAGCAAACCAATTGTCATTAAAAGGAACGGTGAAAACTCGCTGAAGAGTGAGGCCAAGGTGATTGGAGAAGGAGGGAACAAAAGGGGCGGCCATGAAGCGCTGCATGAAGTCGATCTGCTTGGGCCTGGAAAGTCTGGTGCCCCTTGACACACCCAGCGGTAGAGCCTTTCCCGGGACTGCACGAGCGCTTCCTTCAAGGGTCCGGGGAGTGGAGGCGTCCAGTTCCCAAAAGTCCCCGTCCATTGCCCATCGGAGTTTCTTCATTCCCCCTTTTTCTTTTTTAAATTCTACAACGAACAACAACAATCCCTAACGGAACAGCTGATGGGACAGGAATTGAAGAACAAATAAATCTACTCAATCAGTAAGATGAGAGTTTGTGACTTGTGACTTGACTCTTGAGCGGTTGAGAGAGATAGTAGCATATATATGCAATGCTCGTTTTGGTTTCTTGGTTTTCTTCTTAGCCGAACAAAACTTGTAATTCCAGAATCAAGGGTAATAGGGTACGTTACACTGCTCGCTCTGCCGCTGGCCAGCCTGCCTCCGCTCAGTGCTCATTCATGTACTTGGTACTGTTTTTTCTTTTCTTGTTTATTACCTCGTTTTGTAGATAACACTACTCGTATCTCTCTCACACCAATCAATCCTCAAAAATAGTTTCCTCATTGAATTGATACACTTATGTCTAACAAGGCAAGACAACAATCCATTTAGCCTTCGTTAGCTAATCAGTACATCGTCTCCGGACAAAAATCTCAAAATTTGAGTGGCACTGGCACACAATTTTTACCAAATTCCCGCTGCACGATGGAAAGCTTCAACACATTTATCCTCCAAACAAATATAATCATTGAAACAATTTTACACTAGTATCTTATAAGGAAGGATACAAATCATATTAGTATATACAAAAACCACAACTCAACAGCACACAATTGCCTATCAATCAACTAATAGGACAGCAGATGAACCACTAAAGACACTACTCCAGCTTTTCCTACAACTAAAAATCAATGGTGCATATCTTCCCATATTAGTGGACGGCTGGCTATTTGTGCTCGTGGAATTGCTGCATCCACTACTTCAAAATTACAGATGCTGCCTCTCCTGAAATAGCCTATCCGCAACACATCAGTCTCGTGAAAGAAATGATTCAATAGCTTTCACTCTCTTCATTTCAAACTTCGTTCTCCCCTACAATTTAATGAATGAATGTCTACAAAAATGGGACAATGCTAGCAAAGTTCCTCAGGTTGTAGTATAGACAATGTCCAACTGGCTACTATTGCTGGTCCTGAATTTTCAGGGAGATCAGTTCACTCTGTTGCTGTTGGTTTCTATACCTTGAACTGTTAGGGAACCATCTCTGAAGCCTCTCTGGCCAAAACCTGGTAAAGGACCCAAAACAAAAGAAACTAAGACCAAAAATAGACAAAAACCATAACTTTCTATCATATTTCCCAGCAGATATCCTCTGTTTTAGATCCCAGAAGAGTTGCTCACAATCATTTCATATTTAAAGTTCACCTGCTATGTGATCTCATCTTACTGATCATAATTTATTCAAAAACCAAGAGGAACTCATCAACAAAATTTCCAATACCACATTGCTACTTCAGCAGTGAAAAAGTACAGCAAAAGCCACAGAATTCCAAATGTGTGATTAAGTTCACATTAATGAGGGGTCAGAATAATATAACATACAGAAGGTCCTGATGGATCCTATCAATGAATGTATAATTTATGAAGAAATATAAGAAATTCCGAAATTGCTACTTACAGTTCAATTCTTTCATAAATTGCCCGCCTAACTGAAGCATTCAAACCATATGCTATCGAGTTGAAAAGGCCCTAAAATAAATAGTCAACAGTGATAAAATAAGTTTCTCAAAGAAGGTTAATAATTAAGAACAGCACTTCATCGCTTAAACCACACCAAATCAAATTGCACTTAAGAGGATCAAACAAGTCAACAAAAATATTTGGTTCCCATCCTTTAAGATGATCAATCTCTTGAAGATTTTTCCCACTTCCAAACAACCTACAATCATGCATCATTGCTGGGAGGATAACTGTTTCCTCCTCCCCCTTAAAAAGATTTTCAGTGTGGCTCTATCAATTTTGAATGATTGCTAAACGCATAAATGATATATTTCATTTATCCACCCTAAAATTTCAGCAAAAAAGAGAGAAAGAAACAGAAAAGAAAGATTGATATAGCATATCATGATCTATTAATAATAAATTAGATAACAACCAAGGAAAATTTTGCACACATTAGATGACCTGAAAACCCTGGGTTGTTTTCAATAGTGGAATCAAACTAATTTTTCTTAGACTGATCATTCTCAATCTTGCTACATGATATGCAGCAGAAAAAACTAGTTTTGCAAGTGAGACAAAATTCCCAAACTAACAAACAAAATGACAGATACACACATACACATTTACATATTCAAAGCACGTAGACCACATGAAACAAAAGAGAGCAGTTCAACTTTATAAGCAATTACCATAAGTGCAGCAGTCCCAACATCAAGAAATGAGAGCCAAAAGATCTTGTGGCCAGGCTCAATAAAATCGTGGATGCGATTAATTGTTCCAAATGCCCACGATCCTATCAGGATTAGTGGATAGTATCCCCACCGGTTTAAAGCCTACGTGAAATGGAAATCAACAACAAAAGGTTAAGAGGATAACTAGCTTCATTCAAATGCACGAGATTCCTATCAAAAGCTTAAATTAAATTAACAATGATGAAAGGCAACAGAAGAAAACAGCAAAAAAAGCTAATTCCAACAAATAACTACATTCCTAGGGCTTTGACAGGGAAATCTCCAAGACAGGAAAAAAGGCGGTAAAACAACCATGAAAGCAGGAAGCAGCTTAGTCTGACTCTTTCAAACCACAGAGTAATCCTGACAAATAGAGCTTTACTTACATAGCAATCTAAAACAGACGGCAAAGGGTAAGTATGTCATTAAGGATTCTGGTTTTCCCTTTAATAAGAAATTTCTTTCAAGTAGCAAAAGGAACCAAAATCAAAAGGCATGACTTTTCTCTAGGAAATGGATGACTTAAATAATAAGTTTCATAGAAAGAAATGAGGACTGGAAAATAATCAAGGTAGCAAACAGCATATATACATGAATAACCAACAAAAATAGCAAAGCTTCATTTGAGCACACACTTATTTACTATTTGTAAATCTCATATCGTTGAAGTGTACCATTTTCTCTGATGCAAGAAGAATTACCTTCATGTCTGTCCTTGCATCAAATTGATATGCACGATCTGACATGCCAACTGCCATCTGAAATTTCCAAAGATAACACAATGCATCGCCTCAAAAGTTGCACAAATGGATATCAGCTTAAACTTAAGAAAATGGATACAGATAACTGTGCACGTACACGGGTGGCATTGTTCAGCATGCGTATCACTTGAAAGTATGTAAAACCATTGTAAAGAATTGCACCCCATAGTGGGACGTAAAATGTTATAAAGTGAACTGCCTGCATAAATTTGCCAATCACATCAGAAAGTTCAACAATAATAAGAAATTGTACTACATTGAGCAAAGGATAGGTATAGGTCAAAAATTTTTCGTTAAGTTCATCACTTCTATTCTCAAGTAAAATGTATAATAGAAAATACAATACATGATTTTCAAGACATAGAAACTAAAAAACTACATTCAAGGCTAAAAACAGGGCACGGAAGCATGACAGCAATACGGACAGAAAGTGGTCGAAGGAAAAGTGAAAATCTAGTAACACAAACACTAAATCTAGGGGGCAATCAGCCAGACAATGCTACTTTTCACTTGCCTTTCCAGTGCGACCTGTTTGTGCCCAACACCATGCACCCAAATGAGAGTGGTCATTACCAATAGAACGTATGACAGTCATTACCAGCGAAGTTCCTGCAGGAAGTAATAGAAGTACCATATGAAAAGCTGGCTAAAGGAAGAAGAAAGAAAATGGCAAGTGAGAAGCACCATTCTAGATAAGTTTGAAGCAGTCAACAGAGTAGAAGTAGAAACAGGAACAAATGCACATTGCAAGAAGGGCCCTAAAGATAGTAGCAGTCTTGGTAAGATGATGAATGACAGATGAATAATTGTGAGAGAAACATCTATGATCATACCCCAAACATACAAGTGAAAGATGGCCTCCAAATCTTCAACATCAGTTTTGTGTCTAACAACAGTTCGATGAAGAGTAAAAGCAATAGTTGTGGTCCAGAGGAAGGAAGCAACGCAGAAGAAATGCGTGGTGTAGCCCTGAGCATAACAAAAGAAACCTTTCGATGGGTCTCTGCATGGTGAACAGATTATAATTATTATATTCATTAGTTGGTTTTTGTACATGGGAATTCCCCAATTTGTGGAAAAGATGCAAGGGAAGCTGATTGGAGGCGAAGGAAGCATACCCGACCATGTTAAAGAAACTGCAAAGCATGTCCTGCAGCGACCAAAAGAGAGCAATGAAAAAGGAAATGAAGAGAGAAATGGACAGTTGTAAAGAAACAGAAAATGTAGGAAGGACTTAGGGTCCGCAAAAGCATCAGATCAGAGGTTTACAGCAAAACGTTGCAAAGTACAGTAAAGTGAAACTGTAATAGTGTAGGTAAGAGAAACAAGGAATTGGATCTGCAATCTGCATCTACATGAACATGATTGAATTGAACAAAACAAGTTTCCGACTATCCTAATCCTATATACCTTATAATGTTCAAACAAAACAGAACCCTAAACATGTACTAACTGCTAGTGTCGTAGTTAAAATCTTTCTGGAAGAAATCAGAAAAAAGAAAGAAAGATTACGGAGAGGGCGAGGTAGAAGACGAGCTTGAAGGAGAACTTGCGAAGTTCCTTGAAGAGGGAGTAGCAAAGCACAATGAATCCAGATCCTAGGAACGATAGACTGGACGCTCCACTGTTCAGCGCCGTTAATATCCGTCGATCGTGAATGGAGAGCGCCGTCGCCATTTTGTTGTAAATGACGATAAGCTAAAATGAGCAAGCAATGAGCCTCTAAATTAAAATAAAATGTAATTGTGATGTGGTATGGCCCAGATGAGATGAAAAAGACTCATTTTGGGCCTTTGGCCCAGGCTCGCTTCTTTGTTTCTCTTTAATTATAAATTTCTTTTGCCAAATAAAATAATAAATTAAGGTTGCTTTTGGTTTTGTCATGATTCATGAGTAATCAATCAATGTATCGACATGACATGAC